AGACCAGCCGTGAGCAGTCAGCGTGGGGTTCTCGGAGACGCCGCGACGTGTCCACTTGGGCTCGTGCGGACCAGCTAGTTCACAGCCCACCTGGGCCTTCAGCGGGCTCCGGGGGCCTGGTCATTACAGGTCTGAGGGAGAACACAAGGAACTTAGACAGTCACTGACTAAGTCTGGGAAACACCACCGTCATTGAATCATTGAGACACATTTTAATGGAATGAGATTGACACAATCATACAAGTCTTCCAGTGGTCATAAGTCACATTACAGGAACTTAAAGCAGTTTTTTAAAAAAGACACAAATTACACTTTGAAGGTTAGTGTTTAATGTTTATCGGTGAAACTTCTACAACTAGGAGACAACAGGCGTTCTGAGGCCGCAGACACGCCCAGGGGACGTTCACTGGGTGATGCCGATCACCCCGCAGGCCAGGCGGCTCCCGGCGTTGCCCGTCTTCTTGCTTTCGTCATTCCCACCTTTGCCCAGGTCATCTCTCTTCTCATGGACCTTGGAAGACATGGAGACCATGTAACAGGACGAAACGTAATCACACCTCCCCACAAACAGCCAGACTTCTAAAGGACCGCTCAGAACTAGAAGGTAACACGTCACAGGAACTCTGGTAGAAAGACTAATGTTTAACCTAGAAATAGAAATAGCAGCTGCCCAGCGTTTTCTTGATGCAAAGGCATCAGTTACTTCAAACTGGGATAAACCACTGAGACCCGAGTCATCCCGCCTCGGCCACCAGTGCGGCCGGGAGCTCCGTGCCCCAGCAGTCGCTCCTGTGCAGCATAAATTGCTTTGAAAAAGGAGGAGCTCACGTGAACCCCTTCAAAAAAATCATCAGAACCCAGTGACTGTAGCCAATAAATGAGCGTAACCCTTCAAACAGCTCAACCATTTGAAGGTTCTCTCCTCAGACATCCAGACACTTCCTGCTTCTGAGGCTGAGGAACGTCCCCAGGGCCACCGCTGAGGTGACCACCGAGGCCGCTGTCCTCAGGTTGGACCTCACGCTTGTGCGGGCCAGGCCCTGCTTCCCAGGCTAAACACGGCTGACCATCTAACGCAGGCGTGAATGAGGGCCACCCTGGGCCGGCCCGAGATGGACTGTTCTGACGGCAAGGGTCCCGGCCATGGCGACCCGCACACGCCCGCATCCTCATCTCAGCACTGACCCCGGTGCTCCTTCCTCTTCCCTGCAGCCTTTTCTCATCGGAGCCAAAGCTGCCGGTATGTGGTCCCTTAAGAACCAGGACTCGTCGTGAAAGATCCACGCCTGACTGTTAGGAGCCACTGGTTTTGTGGCATTTACCACGAAGCTACGTGCACGTCCTTCCCATGCAAACACTTACCACTAGTGTGCGGCCGATGATGGAATGCTCTCCCGAGAGCGCAATCACAGAGTCCTCAATGAGCACGTTGGCCACACCGTCCGGGCCCGCCGTCACGTTGCCCAGGTCCCCGACATGCCTAGCGTGGAGTAAGCATCAGAGCGGTCCAGGAACTGAGTGTAAACGGGGTCAGACACAGCTGGGCTAAGAGGTGGACACAGCGTAGATCAAACAGGAACCACCTAGGCAGCAGGCTCGGCTCTCTAAACAGGTATAAGCCCACCCTGGCCCATTTGGCTCAGTAAGTAGAGCGTCGGACTGAGGGGTCCCAGGTTTGATTCTGGTCAAGGGCACATGCCTGTGTTGAGGGGTCAGTCCCCAGTGGGGGACATGCAGGAGACAGCCAATCAATGATTCTCATCACTGATGTTTCTCTTCCTCTCCGAAATCAATAAAAATATCTATACTAATAAAAGGGTAATATGCTAATTAGACCAGGAGATCTTCCAGACAAAAGCCATGGTGACAGGGCCGAGGCAGGGGTGATCAAGCCAGGGGGGCAGGAGGGGAGCAGCTGAGCAGTTAAGAGCCAGCGGTCCCAGATGGTGAGAGGCATGTCCAACTGCCAATTTCAACCGGCAGTCAGAGATCCCCCGAGGGATCCCAGAGTGGAGAGGGTGCAGGCCGGGCTGAGGGACACCCCTCCCCCTGAAATTCGTGCCCCGGGCCACCAGTATCTATAGAAAAGCCTAAGCAACCGGCCAACTGGCTCGTAGCTATGACACACACTGACCACCAGGGGGCAGATGCTCAACGAGGAGCTGCCGAGTGACAGCAACTTTGCAGGGTGTCCTCTCGCACCCTGGGGATGCGAGGCTGCTGGGACCCCTCTGGGGATGTGGGACTGCTGGTTTCACCTGATCCCCGCAGGCCAGGCCGAGGGACCCCACCAGTGCCCGAATTCGGGCACCAGGCCTCTAGTTTTAAAATAATAATAATGAAATAAAAACAGGCAGGCGTCAGCCCAAGGAGTCCTGGCGGGCACCTCTGCTCTTAGGCACTGACGGGACATTGCAGCTCCCAGGCCCATGATGGCGAACCTATGACATGCGTGTCAGAGGTGACACGCGAACTCATTTTTTTGGTTGATTTCTCTTTGTTAAATGGCATTTTAATATATAAAATAAATATCAAAAATACAAATCTTCTTTGTTTTACTATGGTTGCAAATATCAAAAAACTTCTACATGTGACACAGCACCAGACGTAAGTTAGGGTTTTTCAAAATGCTGACACGCCGAGCTCAAAAGGTTCACTGTCACTGTCCCAGGCCCTACTGCCCATTCTTGGACGACTAAGCAGCTCTGCCCCAGGCCTCTGTCCCCAAAATAAACAAATCCTGG